AGGTTCATGTGTTAGATCAAGATTCCTCTCTCGATTTCGCACTGTAGATCACCATGGTCGTCTAAAGAAGAGATCTCCAACGGTATCTCTCTCTCTCTCTCTCTCTCTCTCTCTCTCTCTCTCGTCTCAGTGAGTCTCTTCGAATATTCATTCGTGTTTCAACTTATTCATCTCTCTACTTCGATCACTTGAACTCACTGAACTCACTGTAATTCGTATTCAACTTCTTCATCTGAACTCACTGTAATTCGAATCATTCATTCGTATTGATTTTTTCACCAGGTAGGCTATTCTGGAAACAAGCTTTGGTTTGAATAAATCCTTCCTCATCTGCTATTATTTGAGAGAAATGAATCAACAAATGAATATCAGAGAGCATTCACATTATCTTTGGTTTGTTATATCTCAAAGAGGATGATGCTATTAATTCAGAAATTATTCAGCTGAAGAAGCGAATTCATCAACAGGTTAGCGTGTAGCACTTGTATCAAAGAATATCTCGCTTTTCTCAACTATATTTTACAGTATTTTTCAAGCAAAGTTCGTTAGTCCAAGTAAAATTGTTGCAACCTTGTTTGAACATTTTTCTCCTTACATATCTATCTGTCTCACTTGTATAACATGCTCTGTTCTTAATATATTTTACAGTATGCTCCTATAGTCTATAAGATCTGTGGAGGACTTCTGGTGCCACATAATATGCACTTCCACATATTTCATTTCTAAAAAAGAAACATATTCTAGCATTTTTTTTCATTTCACTTGAAGTAATTTTTTTTTCACCTCTTTGAACATGTTATTTGGTTAATATGTGCATGTTTGTTGGAACATCCGAATTCAAGCAAGGGATTGATTGCTAGTGTTACTTAGATTGGTTGATTATCCTAGCATTCACATATTCTCCATGTCATGGTTCTGTGGGTTACTTTTCAGGATATTGTTATTGTGAAAGTCAGTAATATGCAAGTAATTGCAGTAGGAGTCTTTGGATAGAAATAGATATGGCAAGATCTGAACAAAGTGATATGTATAAAGGGTATGCATGATTATATATTGATTTATCTAGTAAATGAGTAAGACATGTGTCCTATCGGAACTTGAACCCTGTCCATCTTGCTTTGGAGGTGACAGGAGTACCACTCAAGCTAAGATAGGATCATCATTTACCTAGAAAGCAAATAACATGCATATGCATAAAGGGTATGCATGGTGCTTTTGGAGCATCCCAGTGAGGGGTGCCTCAATACCAATGTGATTATGTGTCTAATATTTTTGGCTGCATTTTGTAGAATCCTTCCAGGTGGATACACATTATATATCTTAAGTGTACCTTAGGTGTGTGTTCCTAAAAAACCAGTAATATAGACAATGGGCTGAAATATGTTACTTAGCAGTAACCTGGATCAAATTTAAAGTTACTTAGCTGAACACTAGGAAAAGAACAATGATAATTTTGACTAAAAATTACCTCATCTGATTCAGAGGCATACTCAGAAGAATCTGTTTCAAAGTCATCATCACTGCTGCCAATTTCTTCGACAGTTTTCACGTCTTTCTTTGGCTCCACTATCTTCACCTTTTGCTTCGATCCAACTGCGACAGGCTTTGCAGTATTAGCGCTCTCAGCTGCAGGAGGTTTCTCATGCTTAGCCTGTGACTTGGATTTTCCTAGGAAGACAATTTAACAAATAGAAATCAGACCCAGGAAATATTTATGCCGCTGAATATAAAGTCTTAGAAGTAGAAATACCACTGTCTGCAGCAATAACTGGAAGTTCATCCTCTAGCTCATCCTCTGGGAACAAGGAATAGGTATAAGAGCAATGGCAAAAAATGCAAGCAAAGAACATTAGAGCAGTGTGTGTTAACAAACTCACCAGAATCATCCTCAGTTGTGATCATAAAGAGACAGGCAGTCAAGGGAGAGCAAAAAAAACAAAAAAACAAAAAAAAAAAAACCAGTGAAAAATGAAGGAAATAGAATTCCATTAAAAAAACAAAAGCAAAGGATGTTCATCTATTGGATTATCGCATCTATATCCATAGAAATAGACGCTGCCATGTTTCCAGTTGTGTGATAGCTCAAATTTTTTGTTGAACACTAAGTCAAACTGCTGCTGAGGGAACTTCTCAGGAGAAAGTGTTCCGAGGACAAGCTTTTTTCCATCAATAGTCGCATACAGGTAAACAGATTCAGTCCGTTTGTCCTTCTTGCCTTCACCAAGACAAGCCTGTGGAGGAGCAGTGCACATGCTTTAATGTAAATGAGACAGATGAAGCAATCATCGATTACCTAAATAATAAATAAATAATCAAAACACTAACTCGATCTCTCTTTCTCTCTTGAACGCTCAATCTCTCTTTCGCACAATCTTGCTCTCTCTGTATCTGTGTACCTATCTCGCTGCAATTTGCTTGATTCATCGCAGAGAAACCCTAACTCTACTAGTAGATCGCATTGAAAAGGTCTCTTGGAGTTCTCAAATGCAACAGAGTAAGCTCACCTATCACGCATTGTGTACAAATTAGGTACCAACTCTCTTCAAATTTCCTCTATTTTTTGTTTTGATTTGTTTCATATTTGTACTTGATCTGGTTTTGTATCTGAGAGTTCCTTTGTTTTTATTTTTTGCACTATAATAATACATTTTTTTGTTGGTTTGTTCTCGTTTGAGTTTGAAATTGTGTTTGATCTGGTTTTGTAGATCAGAGTTCTTTGGTTTATTGTGATTAATTTAGTTATCTTTAGATTCAGTATTTGCTCATCAAATTGATATGACAATCTTACGATTGCAATTCTTTGTAATTTTATCTAGCGTTAGTCAAATGAAGTTATCTATGGTTTTTCTTGCAGGTGATTGCAAATTCAATCTCACTATTAAATCCATTTGATGTTATCAAACTTTTAGACTCACTGATATCTATAATCCATCTGATGTCTCTGTAATCCAACTCTCTTCTCTGCTCTTCGGTACTCTCTCTCTCTTTCTCTCTCTCTCTCTCTCTATATATATATATATATATCCATGTAATGTATAACTGTGTTTTGCTTATTTATGCTACGATTAAGGAGATTCTGATTGTTTAAAACTAGTTCTCCCCAGTATTATCTACTGTACAATCGGTATCGAGCAAGCTTTTTTTAACTGCGAGAAATCTCTCTTTGTATGCTTGACTAAGCAATCTCGATGATTGTGAATTTTTTGAATCACGTGATTAACATTAGTTTTGTGATTTTACTTGTTATCGTCCATTCTTCCACGATTCAATCATCATGTTTTGTAAATTCTTCGACTACAATGTGAATTGTCTTTGTGCTGACTATCCATGCTTCTAAATGCTTGAACTTGGATTTAATGAAGTTGTCTTCCAGGTTGTTTTGCAACTGTGTATATATTTCACTTAAATGTTTATTAAACACTTATCGCAGGATTGTCCAGAAGTGCATGCCAACACAGCAAAAACACTGTGTGCTGTAACTCGATATGCTCCTCCAGGCCTAGCTGCTAAAATCACCAACCCAAGGTAGCACTAGTTTTCATTCTGATCTTGTGGGAAGTTCACAATATTATATCATCTACTTGTTTCCTATTATTTAGAGAAGTAATTATTTGTTTTATGTTCACAGTTTTATAGGAAGACTCTTTTGTCATGCTCTGGAGGATTCACGGCCAAAATCTGTTTTGGTTAACTCATTGTCTGTATGCATATCTTTGTTAGACCCCAAAAGGCTGACCTTGGGGACATATCATTTTTACAGCCGCCAACTGTCTCATGGATCTACAATAAGTGCTAATCCCGAGACAGTCGAGGACATGCTGGGGAGCCTAGGTAAGGGAACAGAACTTATTCATGATTAAAGTTGTGAATTATGGGGAGCCTTTCACTCTAGTGTTTACTGTCAATAGTAAATCATTGTCATTATGAGATGGAAAAAACACAGCCACTTTTCGAAAGTGATTTTTATTAAAAAAAAAACTTACCAAGCTTTTTTTCTTCAATGCACCTTTCACCTTTAGGATAACAAATTAACTAGAGTCACAAATACAGAAAACAATCCAATCTGCAATCTATATACAATAAACAAGCCATCAACTCCATTAGCCCTAATCCATAAAATGATCTAACTCGTATGTTCCTCATCCTACACCTTACACAGATTAAAATTATTTAGAGTTCCAATTCAGACACTAATCCACACATACTCTGATCTCATAGAATTATTTCACAAAATTTTCAATCGAAATCCCGGCCTTTCATTTACGCAAGCCACATCATCACCACCACTACGCTTAACTTCCAAGTAACTACTCTGGAAGGAAAACTGATTGAACCTCTGTTAAGCTCCAAGCTTTATCGTCAGACCGGAAGGAATGCGGAACCTCAACATATCTCAAAGGCCACACAATTCTCGCGGGCGCTACTCTAGAAGGAAGCGGAACCTCTATTAACGCCACGCTCTCAATGGTCAAAGCCGGAAAGGAAACGGACCCTTATTCCAATATCACGCATCCAATAATTCATCATGTTTTTATTATTACAATTCTGACAAAGGCCAAGAACACCGTTCATCATTTCCAATACTCCGTAATCTAACAACACATCCCCATAAGCTTAAGTTTTCTTTAGAAACAATCAAATTCCTTGTATTCCATTTCTCTCTTACTTTCCACGTTATCATTAGGTCTTTATACTCAATTTCAACAACACAAATAATATCATATATATAGTCCAAGATTAATTGATTTAAATTACTAACATTAATTTGAATTTCAAGAATTTAGGGTCAATTAAACATCTTTCCTCTTTGTACAAGAGCTATAATTGGGTTTAACAAAAATTAGGGCCTTTTTAATCTTAGGGCACAAATTCATATTCTAACTATTCAACACTATCATCATCCATTCTCAAGTTCAGCATTTAATTCCATAAATTGAAAAACCCTAAACTTACATTTACATGTTTTTAAAAAATCTCCTCAAATGAGGTTTTTTTATGCATAAAAATTACCACCCATCTATCTATGAAAAAATTCGATGAAGCAAGAAATCCCTACCTTTAGCAAGTAGAGGAAGAATCCGAAATTTGACTTCAACGAAAAAATGCGATTCGCTTGGATAGATGGGAGAGCCCTCAGCGGCTCTTCAGTTTTTATATAAGGAACAGTGGTAAAAAATGAGGGGAGGAAGTTGAAAAATCAAGTTGAAAGCTTTGAAATCCGACAATAATCGTGGAGGGAAAGAAGAAGAGAGAGAAGAAGTAAGGGAGAATGAAGAAAAAGTGGAACGGAAAAAGTGACTTTTGAGAGAGTGTCCTATTATTTGGACACGTTTGCTCGAGTGACAATAGGGGCGAACTTTCAAAAGTTCAGACCAAACAAGGGTACGTATAAAACCCCGCCATCGAGGTGACCGCGCGAGCGACACTCCTACGTTCGAGTGAACATACCCAACTTTCAGAATCTCAAGGCCTGTAAAAGTACTGGGAGCTTTACAAGAACCACTCGAGCAACCAAATCCATCGCTCCGAGCGTGAGAAAAATTTCCTAGAGTGCTATACAAAGTCTTTGTTTCTTTCCAAAAGGATTCTCTCTGTCGGCCTTGGTTATTGTTCTGCACAACTTGAAATAACTCGGCATCATCTCCCGACATTAACCTGCATGAGTATGGCTTGTCCCAGTAGCAGCTGCTACCTGCCGCCACGTTAAGCCCAGTTGTTTCTTTCCCTGTGCCACTGGGCTCCAACATTTCTCAAATATGCTTTCCAGCCATTATCCTTCAAAAAAAAAAAAAAAAAAAATTTCGTTCAATAAATACTTTGAATAATTTCAACCACCAAACTAAACGCCGTTAACTCATATCCACAATTCGAGGATCACCTAAACTCTCACAAGTCCTAGGGTACCTAGAAGCTCTGAATACTAAAACTACCACACCCTAAAATTCAAAACAATTTAAAATATTAAATTAAGGCTCAAATCCAACCATATTCCATCATCCATCCTAAGGGTAAATAAAAATCTAAATATTTACGTCTCAATTTTATTTAAAGTAAATTTCAATGCTCAAAAGTTTACAAGAAGAGAAAAAAAAAAAAAAACAAAAAGCCAACCAAAATCATCAATCATAAATTCAGTAACTTTCCAATACCTCGCGACATAAGTAGAACCCATAGTTCAAAACAGGCTCAATAATGTAAAAATTAAAAAAATAAACTACAATTCGCAAATTATTAAAATACTAAGGTCATAAAGAAAAATAAATAAATAAATAAATAAATTAATATCAAACCCTGACTCAAGGAAAATAAAAGATGTTCCAAGAGACATGTGTTTATAACTATAGTTATTTCTCATCAATAATCGTAGTCCCAACTAATCTTGCAAAGGAAGCTCGTCTGTGCTCAAATAGAACGCACCGAGATGTCAAGAGACAAAATAATCAGTATACAAGTATACTAGTATGAGGTACAAAATTGACACTCACGTGTCACTAGCATACAAACAAAGTATGTTTAATTCTTTATTATTGGACAATGAACAAGTGTTTCGCCGCACCGAGACGAAGAAGGTAATTCTTGAGATACGGTTGGCATTTAGTTTCTTGCTTCGTCACAACTAAATATAATTGAGTATAAATAAAAATAAATATAGTGGGTTAGCCCTGGCAATAAAAAGTTAGTAAGACTCACTATTTTGGCAAAAAAATAAAGTTAGTGCAGTTTAACCATAAGTAAATTGCTGAGAAATATAAAATGTACCATTTCATGCTAAATCGCTTCCATTGATCAAACTCAAGAACAAAAAGTTTGTACAAACATCAAATTTTCTAAAAGGCTACGCGAAATAATATAGTAAAAAATTTGAACAGCTGAGACGAAAAACTTGATAGTAAGCACCTAGAACGGAAATCGAAACGAAAACCTGAAACTAAAAAACGAAAAGAAATTTCCTTAAAATGATTTTTTTTTGGAAAAGTTCAAAACACGAAAAGTATCCTGAATAATGTTTACTTTCAATTACGTGAAATCAATGAAAATTAGCTCGTTTCATGGGTTAAAACAGCATCTAATGTCTGGATTGCTAAAATGAACAAAACAATTGTAACCAATGATCATTCTGATTACAAGTTTTAATTGATCTTTTTAGTAAAATGTTAAAATACAAAAATTGTCTAGATTACGTTTACACGCCTCTGCCCGAATTTTTATAATTTGTCGATGTCGTTTACTATTTTTCGAGATGTTACAAATCAAAATAATTCAATTGTATCAAATAAATTCATTATTTAATTTTTGTACCTTAACTCCACCACTTCGGCCCTTCACTTCCGGCCTACACATATATCCCATGTGCCTCCCGTATACCTAACACTGCTCCGAAGCCAAACTTGCACGGGGATATCGTCCGAGTTTGACCCACACTCCCTGGATGGTTAGATATATACGAACGCCATAAATCAAGTATTCGTCTACTCTTGAAAACGAGACAACAATATATATATACACAACTCTTCATCTTCCCATGAGAACAAACATGACAATGCCGAGCCTAAGGCATTCAAATAAATCTTATAATCCTCACTTTTTTAATACACTTTTTTCTCACCAGCACTCAAATAAAATAACAATTCATGGAGTTATGGTGGAGTATACAGAATTTATCTATGGATTCCTAGTTTATTTTATTTATATATTCATGAGTGTGATACATCCATAAAATAAATAATATATAAACATTTGTAAACCTTGCATACACACTAACCAAAATAAATAAAATCAATCCATCATCTACATGCAAGTTCAATATCAAACTTACATCAAATAAATATAATAAATAAATAAAAATAACGAAATAAATATAAATAAAGGAAAGTGGGATTTTTAAACTTACAATTATTTTTAAAGATCAAAAAATACTTAAAAGAATTACCAAATAAACCCTAAACTTTGTTTTTTTTTTCCTCTCTACCTCACCCTCTCCCGCAGTCTCTCTTCCACGTGGCACCACAAAGCATTGTCTGCTTTTGTTTTTTTTGTTTTTTTGTTTTTTTTTTTTTCTAGTGACAACACTATTATGACCTAATTTACTACTATTATATTATATTTTATTATATAAATACAACATTTGTAAATATGTTATTATAAAGATCAATATAAAAATACTTTTTATATAAATAAATATATATATATATATATTTATTAATTATTATATAATTAAGTATCACATCCAATTAATTAAATATCATATTAAATTCTCAAGTGTCTACGCAATGAATAAAGCAAAAAAAAATAAAGTAATAATAATAAATAATAATTTAAGAAAAATTAAGGTCACTATAAGACACTTTTTAACAAAATTTGTTTTGAGAATTATAAAATCTCAAATAAAATTTATAATTTTTTTATATTATTAAAATATCAAATTACATGTTACAATTCCACTTAGTTATATTGCCGATAAAATTGAAAAGATTTTGAAAATATAAAACATCTATCTTTGCATTGAGTTAGACATTAACCACTTCTATAAGTTGAAGAATCATTTTGAATATTTCAAACATTAATTTCCTTATAAATATTACTCTTTGCACGTTTTTATTTGGTGCATTATTTCATAAATTCATGTTCGCATACTTATATTTCACTCAATTTAAATTATTTTTTTATATTCCAATAAGTTTTGCGAGTGACGTAATTACCAAAATATCCTAATAATAATATGGTGAAGTGCGTATCAATATTCACATTAACAATGTAAATATTTCATGAGTGAATATTTACATTGTCAAATTTATTTAATGTGAATGTTCACAATCACTAAGTTATTAAGGGCTCAAAAAATATTTATAAAGGTAAAATTATTCTTAAATATCTTAATATGATAATTAAGATTTTATAAATCAAATATCCAAAATAATATGATTTATCAAAATATAAAAATATCTTATAAATTAATTGAGATAAAAAAAAAAGAATTTTATATAAATTCCCCGTCTATGTATGTTTTGCCTCAGAATTCATTGACTACATATTTAAAACATTCAAAAACAATTATATTCTAATATTTTTTTGTTTGTAAATATCCACTTGTAAGAAAACCCCAATTAGCTAGTTTTGTTTTTAAAATTGACTTTAATTAAAAACAACTTTCTCTCACTCCAATCAAATCTCTATAATCTTATAATTCTTGAAGTTCACATTATATATACCAATAAAAGAAATATTTAAGTTAACTCACCTCCCTGAATTTGTATTAAACTTATATATTTTTGTAAGATCATTTATATAAATTTGTAAAATTTTATACAATTTTTCTGTTAAGATTTATACGGTGTGCATTATATACTCAAGCATTTTCTCTAGTTATGATTTTTGTGGCGTTAACAAAGTATAATAATTAAATCACTTTAGATCATAATATTCATTTGAGGTATAACTAATGACTTTTATGGTCATCATTAAAATAACAATCATAATAAATCATAACTAATATCATAATGAGTTATAATTAAGGGTCATAACCAAAGACATAATAAAGATATCTTCAATTATAATCAAAATAACAATTATTATAATGAAATTATAACCAACAGTATAATGAGTCATAATCAAAATCATAATAGGTAAAAACCAAATATTACAAAGATTGTAATTTGGGCATATGATACGAAATTATAACCAACACCACAATAAATCATAACCAAATCATAACTAACACCATAATAAATTATAATTAAAAATCACAAAAATTATAAATATATAGTACACACTTTTTGTTTTGGCTGTGAATTATCAAAATATCCATATTATATAATATATATACACTACTAAAAAAAGTACTTTTTGCGACCGTTACAAGCCGTCGCAAATAATAAAAAAACAGTTGCAAAAGACTTTTTGCGACGGCCCATGCGACGGCAAATGAGGTCGCGAATGTGGGGGTGGCAAATCTTTTGCGACCGGCAAAATAACAGTCGCAAATTATTTGCGACCGTCTAACCTACTTATAGCGACTGATATTTTGCCGTCGCAAAGAGTTTAAAAAAGGCCTACAATGTATTAGCGACCATCTTCTTACCGTCGCAAAAAAAAAAAAAAAAAACAAAACAAAACCTCAATCATATATATATTCAAATATTATATACAATAAACGTAAAGACATATTTGCAAAAATCTCATCATTCATGCATTATTTTTCATTTCTTCCCTCAATAAAATTCCCTTTAAAAAAAAAAAAACCTATCCACAAATCATACAGATATGTCCAAAAAGATAAACAAATATCCCTAAAAGAAGAGGTACAAACACATTATTTTCCATTTCTTCCCTCAATAAGACCATATGTAATCATGGATTTGGGGCAGCTCACTAAACCAAACAACTATTTAGGGGCCTTATAATTGGATTATGCGGACCATGAACACAGTCAACGGCAGCGATGAGCCGTAGCAAAAATATATGTATTCCCTTGCACAACCTGCAAGGGTAGGCTCAAAAAAACTAGCTCTGTAGTGGACACCATAACAAACAAAATATTTATAGATTGCTATCAAGGCATTCAGCACCTGAGACCAGCTGCAGTCCGCCCAGAAAAATAGTCCCTGCAGCCATTCTTCATGTCAATGATCTGCCAACAGTGCTTCAGGTTACTACCAACATTTCTTTACAATTGTACCACCCATCTTCAATCTTGGAGAATTAGTAGAACCTGTCCAAAATTGTAAATGGAGTGAGTACAACCAAGCAGAAACCCAGCCTATGTATAGGATGCAAGAAACTAAATAAAACATAATGAACGGGCTAACTTCACTCAATCCACATAATATTGGCTCACAACACTCGAACAATAATTTACAACACACAATATTAGAACTAATATCCTCAACCCACAATACAGATCACATGAGCAATATATCATAAACATTACTCTACATGTAAGACGCTCGTGCAATTAACAATACCTGTGAGGCAACAGGTTGCACAAGTAATCTAATGAAGCCTCAGCTTGGAGTAGCTCAACACCATCCTCATTCAATTCATCAATGTTCCCATTTGCACTTGACAATGATTGGGACAACATTGCAGACGTAATAGACTTTATCATCTTTCGACCAATAAAGGCCCCCACTCTTACAGATCCATAGTCTGCACCGCCAATGCTGGAAAAAAAAAAATATCAAAATTGTCATTGAAGTTGAGGAAACATTTTTCCAATTTTCCTTTTTTGTGTGTAGGAACAGGGGGTTGGCAGAGAGGAGTGCATGATTTTCTTGCACGGCTTCAGTATGAAGAATTTTATGATGTTCCAAGTTTTTATATGCGCTCATTTTAAGTGATCAATGCCCCCTCCCTCTGAAGCAAACTATAGAGTTATGTTCTAAACAAAATTCCTTATGTCGTTAAAATAAAACTAATGCATTATGAGACTTCAAGATCTTGCAAAACCGGAAGATGCGAACAAAAATGAAAAACAGGAATATATACGCATGTGAATTATGTTGTGTGTTCAGGGTTGATCTATGCCAGCCAGGTGTTTGTAACAAGAGGTCCATGTAAAAGAAACAGAATAGAGAGAGTTCCCCAATAATAAATAGCAAAAAAGGATTATATGATCCGTGTAAGAACACAATTGGTGCCTTAAATAGCACAATTTAGGTAAGCTCTAGTTTGAATAATCATCCATAAAAAAATTAGCATCATTAATTACTAAACGGCCCATCACTAACTCACAAAGAAAATATTAAAACAAAGCATGAAAGACCTTGTACCTGTTTCTTATTCCTGAATCAATTCCCCAAAACCGTATATGACTAGGAATAGCCACAAGCCCTATTACCTCAGCAGGCTGCATAATTACAAGCACAACTTTTAGCCAGAGTCCTTACATAAAAAATAATTTTAGCAGAGTTGTTTTCTAGACTACTAATGAAACATACCTGACAAATCATAGCAAGAAGTTTGTTGGCTTCACCACACGCTGAAGTCATCTGGTCCATCACACCACATGGAGCTCCAACTACATGATTCTCTACCTATCAAATAATTTCTACGTAAGCTAAGAAAAGAACTTTGCACATGGGATGTCAGAATTACGCATACTAGGGGTAGAAGTGAATAAAAATTTTCTAAAGGGAACGTCAAAGGTCAAACCTTTTGGCAGAGCAAAGCAAGATCCCTGGGGCTGATGTCTAAACCTGCAGAAAGTAGATGGAAGTAAAACTCAATTAATTCTTTAGTTCAAATAAATTTAAATTTGTGATAGGCTCAAAATGAATTGAAATGATTCCACATGATTGGATTTAAGAGGTTCGATGCCTACAATCAATACTCATATCCTAGCCATATATATCTATTTGCCAAAAGCATATCCTTCTCAACAGCTTCACTACTAGCAGTCACTAAGACTGAGATGAACTCTATAATCTGAATGGTAGCATGTTAAATGATAATCATAATTAAGTAGCATTAATTCATATTGACTATCCATCTTCATTTATGAAAACTCCAACATTTTCCCTTGGGATAAGGAGAGAAAAACAAGGCAAAGTGGTGGATTTAGCCTTGCACAAATAACATTTTTTTACTCTAAAATGCCAAAAGAAAAGAATACCTTCAGACGATGTTTTCCAAGAGGTGGCTGCAACTTGCCATATGTCATAATCAAGGCATTGTCATCCGATGAACATCCAAAAGCTTGAGTAAATCACCTTCAAAAGAAAACAGAGACGAAAATTATTGGTTCCTCATTATATCCTAATATTACAACTCTTTGACCACATTTCCTAATATGAAACAAATTTATAACCATAACGATTGGACAGCGATGTGTGATTCGTAACTTTGTTTCTTTTCTTGGAAGATTTCTTGCTCTCATGTGCAATCTCTTGTTATTTTTTGATTACTATAAATTCATGCTATGGTGAGAAAAAAAAGTAAGTATTTTCCCCACATATTTGTATCAACAGCACCATTATCAATATGGAGCAGGCCTACAACAATGTAAACTATCATGCAGCATATCATCCAGCTTACAAATCTTCTGAACTGCCAATTATTTCTTCAAAAAATTTAAATACAAACTCAATATTGGATATATCTGAGTTGGGAGAACTAGTTTTAAACAATTAGAATCTCCTTAATCGTAGCATAAATAAGCAAAACACAGTTTTTCTCAAAATACCCAAATAGTGCTAATCTACAAAAGAATATGTACACCATACCCAAGAATTACCTAGAAAATATAAATTATCAGATAATATCCATAGAAATTTTTTTC